GTGATACACCTGTGTCACTGTTGGTCAATCCCATTGAAATGTAAGGGAAATCATAACCTCAAGATATCACCTGCCTGACCAGTGGAGGAAATTGCTATCCAGAACCTTGCACAATGTGCAACATTTTAGCTGTATCTCCCATAGACATTACAACTGAAATCTTTAACAAAGATAATCAAGATTACAATTGCAAAGAACACTCTTCAACAATAATAACAGCCTATCATTGTTATGAACTAATACAATATAATGTCCGTTTATCACTAATGCAACCTGAAAATCAAAAATTAATACTGGTCCTTAGGGGACACTCAAATTTTGTACCAAAATTGATCATAGTCAGAAACTTTTTGAGTTATGTGGTTGACCTTCAGTGTAACCTTGATCTTTAATTTATATTTACTAAAGGTTAATCAATTGGTCTTTGGGAGACACTCAACCCCTGAATCATATTTGATCATTGTCCTATTGAAACATTTAGATATACTGTTAACAATAAACATAGGAGTGAACACAATACTTGCATATATATATATAATCTAATAAAAGAGGAATCCATTAAAAACAAAGCTTCTGTATTCAAAAATTATTCACAGCAAAATACAAGAAATTATAAAAAGGCTTGCACTTAAACAAATCAAATAGAAATAACATTAAAAAGAAAACATTGACCCTTTAATGACAAAACAAACATAAAAAAGAATATCATTATCATTTTTACATAATAAAACCATTCACAAAAGAACAGCATTACGTTATTACAAGTTACACTATGTACAACTCTTTAATAAAGACAATTCAATACAGAGCTCGGTCTAATACAGCATAAAAATTTCCATGCATACTGTAACTTCACAAATGCATTAATGCACATCAAAACAACTATATATACCTACACTTCTAACTATAAGATCTTATTGTTCATTCTTGCATGAGAACTGGAGAGTCAGAATAATAGGGAATTGAAATAATCAGAGACACTAATTTTGATTATCTAGTTGACTATTTATGAGTCCTGACTTTAATTAATTAAGCTAAAAAAACTTTGATTTAATTGAAAGTGGTAATGAGAAATCATAATGGCAATATTTCAATTACTTGTATAGCTTGAGTAATGAAAAACAGTAATAATCATAAACACTAATTTCCATGAATTATTTTCACAACAACAATAATAATAATGTGTGTGTGTGTTTGTGTTACATCTTTCTTTTCTTTTTCACTAAAGGTAAAATTGAAAAAAGAATATGTGATGTAGAGATCTAATGCATTCTTTGATTGGCTGTACTCTGCTGTGGACAGCCGTTTTGCCCACTTAGGTTACTTTCTGGTGATTTATAAGGAATCAAAAACCCCATTGGTAATAATAAATTTGATCATAATTTCATTTCATCAGTTATTCATTTAATGATGCTCATCAATTCA